TAGAGCTGAAGATCAGTAATGATGCTGCAATAAGCACCATAAGCCGTCACTGCAGCCAGAAAAAGCTTCAAGTGAAATCCTGCAGCACAGAGATCCTGCTACTTTTTCTCCTCTCAGTGTTTTCTTTCTCTAAAAGGAGCAGGGATTTCCTCTGGGGACTGGGAGGAGGAAAAATAGTTGAGAGAGAGGTACAGTTTGGTTGCAATACAAAGCACAAAAGGATGAAAAAGAAGCCTAATGGATGTCTTTTCTTCTTGTCTTCTGGCAATTGCTTTCTCTTCAGCAGCTTTGAAGAGAAGTTAGGCTCCTCTGTTTTATCCTGCTCTGCAGGGGCTCAAGCAGTACAGGGACTTGCAAGTCTAACCACTACTCTGAGTCACGGAATCCTATATTTAGATGGCCTTGAGAGCCTCAGCTTTTCTCCCCAGCACACTCCTGTCTCTGCAAGTGCATCAAGTCTGCTGATGCCCATGCTCAGCTATGGGCATGTGAAAATTGTGTGATCCCACCACCACCAGTATCACCATTAATGCTGACACTTCTCAAGGATTCCTGGACTAGGTGTTACTGCCTAGTCTACACCATAGGTCTCAATCTAGTCAGCATCTCAAAAGATGCCCAGCAGATTTTGGCCTGGTATGAAAATCAATCAGGATCAAGACTTTCTAAAAACATGCACGCTCTCTTTTACCAGCAGCTTTCCTTATTGACTGGAAACCTAACAGAACAGTCTTAACGCGGGTGGCTTTGGAGCACAGATCTGAGCCAATGTTGTTTCACCATAGAAAAGAGCTTTGATTCTGAGGCTGCAGAGTACTCCAGGGTGAAGCTGAGTCAGCTGCTTCCTGGGCAGCCGTACCTTTCACAGCCAGCGTGCGTTATGTCCGTGACTTTTCAAGGATGAGGTAGGGTTGGGTGGGCACCTGGCTCCAAACCAAAATCCTTGCTTCAGTGGACTCGTGAGCAGCCAAGCCCAAGAGACCCATGGATGAATGATTGAATATGAAACAGTTGCTCTTCTGACCTGCTACACCCAGATGTTTTTGTATTGTTTTCTTGTGCGTGTGTCTTTTCATTTGTTTTATTCATTTTTGCTTTTTAAGACAGGAAAAATGATGGGGCAGGGTAAAGAACTCAGTCTGCTGCGTAACCTTGTGGCAGGAAATGCATTAATTACATTAAAGTAAGGATATTTTTTCTCCTTTAAGTCATTTACAACACTTGATGTATGTTGCCTTGAATGCCTCCAGAAATGGGGCATCCATAACCTACTTGGGCAATCTGTTCCAGTGTATCACCACCCTCTGTGTAAAAACTGCCTCCTAGTATCTAACCTAAATCACCCCTGTCTCAGTTTGAAACCATTCCCCCTTGTCCTATCACTATCCACACTTGTGAACAGCTGTTGCCCCTCCTGCTTATACACTCCTTTCAAATATTGGAAGGCCACAATGAGGTCTCCCCAGAGCCTTCTCTTCTCCAAGCTAAACAAGCCCAGTTTCCTCAGCCCTTCCTCATAGTAGAGGTTCTCCAGCCCTCTGATCATCTTAGTGCCCTCCTCTGGACCCACTCCAAGAGCTCCACGTCCTTCCTGTGCTGGGGGCCCCAGGCCTGGACGCAGTGCTGCAGATGGGGCCTCACCACAGCAGAGCAGTGGGGGACAGTCACCTCCCTCTCCCTGCTGGCAACTCCTATTTTAATGCAGCCCAGAACACAGTTGGCCTTCTGGGCTGCAAGTGCACATGCTGGGCACACCACCTCATCTAGAACTGCTTTATCTCTTAGGAAGTAAACACTTGGGAAGGGAAGACACATTTTGTCTTGTAAAATTCACCACCACTAAAATTCTTCAGCGCTGATGAATAAACGAGGGCATTATTTTAGTGTTACTGAGATGCTTAAGTCCACATTCAACAATACATTGTAAATATGTTTGTAATACAGGTACCAGATGTAGCTTACCACTCACTGACTAGTTCGGAAACTATATTTTTCCGCTGGATTTAAAATTTATAGTAAAATTGGAGAGGAGTGCACTCAGCACATCCTGTTAGCTGAGTCAATTGAAACTGCACCTGTTCTTGGATGCAAGTCATAACAAACACAATCCATATACATTGTAAAGAAAAGGACTTGTCTGCACTTTTTCCAATTAACATCTGCCTTTTGGCAAGTTATTAACCTATTTTCTCACAAAGAAACGGCTTCAATTGTATTATGCATCCGAAGCGTGCAAAAGTCCCTGAGGGGGCACTCTGACAAAAACATACTGTTCCTGGATCCAGTGTGAACATACATATTCATTAATTGTTTGGGGCAGAGTACAGAATTTCTGATTTTTACAAGTCTTACAGGGTAAACAGGTTACATAAAGCTATGTCCTTGGAAATACATTCTGATCCCAGCTACTCTCATTCAGTGTTTCTGCAGTGTGATACAGCAACTAAAATAATACAGTAGCTCAGTTAAAAGACTTCTAGGAAGAAAAAGACATAACTGTTTACCTTAAGAACAGTACAGCACACTTAATTATTCAAATAAAGATGGCAATTTATATTCCTGGGATAAGTCATGCTACAGGGATCTGCACAGGGAAATGGCCAGGAGAAATGTGTCTACAACCATTTTTTCCACCCAAAAGGTAAGTTTAATCAGAACGTAAGCCTGTGGTTTAAGTTTCTCATCATACTGATTATGATAATGAAACAATGAATTGTTGTCTTACACGCGTAAAAGCAATAAACAACATGGGGAGTTGTTCTGATACATTCATCTCCAGGAACTGGTTTTCCAAAACACGAGGGCTTTAGAAAACATGGCAGCAAAAGCAAAAGGTAAACAGTGGAGATTTTTGGAGAATGTATGGATATGGACAAAATAAAATTAAATTTAATTAAATAAAAAAAAAAAGAAGAGAGAGAGTGAGAGAAAACCCAGAATAGTGTTTTGAGTTGTCAGTCTGGTCCATAATGTACAACTGATTATTGGCATAGATTAATGTCCCAGCCTGGTTTTGCCCAGGCATTTGAAAACCTGTACATTCATATCAGAAGTGCTTTCTAGGCCCACATTGGAGTATGAGCCACTTGGTGTCTAGCCCATGGCGAAGCCCGTACCTCTACATGTGCTTCAAAGAGATGAGATGGAACTATCTGAAGGAAAGAACTCAGGAAAATACCTTGATTGCTTCAGTATCACGCTGTACACAATGCTCGGGATAGGAACTCCATTAAAATTAATGACTAAACTTTGATGGGAATTACAAATGGAACTTGGCAGCAGCCAACAGCATTTCTTTCAATTCGCACAAAGCATTTTTTGCTTTGACTGGAAATCTCTGCAGAATTATCTAAGGTGAGTCGCTAAGCTCCTTCCTAACACTATGAAACTTTATGAACTTGCAGTTCTGTTCCCCTGGCAAATCTTCCAGGCGACTCAGGCAGGGCTACTTGTTCTGCCATGCTCACACATTCACAAACATCAGGGACCTACCACGCTTTGAAGCGTGCCATTCAGACACAACTATTATTTTTTTTGAATTGGTATTCAGCCGCCCTTGCAATACTGAGAATACTTGCTTCTGAGACTTTAAGCAACTCCTTCAGCCACTTTGAAAGGAAGTTTTTTATTCTGTAGCCCTACTTGAAATTATATGGATCAAGAAAAAAGGCTAATAGCCCACGTGAAAGTTCCTTTAAAAAAAAGCGTTAGCTGGTAGTGGTTGTATCTTAGGAGAGCGCTCACAGCTTGAGGAAAATACCTCCACACTTTTATCAAACTATCATCTCTAATTATACAGATATCCCAGGTGTTGGGCATTCTGAACACTTCAGTATCAACAGACTACTGACTGAATGAAAATAGCATACGTTAATTTGTGAATGTTACATTAATTCACCAGATTCACACACATAAGTATTAAATGCTCCCATTGTATATATATTGAAAAGGAAGAAGGCAGAGTTAACAGAATCACAGAATCACAGAATTGTAGGGGTTGGAAGGGACCTCCATAAGAGATCATCTAGTCCAACCCCCTTGCCAAAGCAGGTTCCCTACAGCAGGTCGCACAGGTAGGCATCCAAAGGCAGAAGGGAAGACAAAAGCAAAAATTTTATTAAAATATAAAGCAAAAAAATATATATTTTCATATGTTGTTGATAAATAATTCCTGAAAAGCTTAACAAAAAAATCCTGTTGATATAGAAATAAAAAAATATGTAGTCCATTAAAAAAAAACAAGAAGTAAGTCAAGTTTTTAACAGCTGCATGGTTTTGTGCCTTGTAATGAAACCAAGAAAAGGCAAAGACCACAAGAATATTTCCAAATGCAAAACCACAAAATACATCTGACCTAAAAGACAGTATTTACATAACTCTGCATTACATAGCACTATAAACAATTGCATAATCAAAGGTCAGGCTGTACACATTGGAATATGTAAGACTATCCTTCCACTAAAAAGTCAGGGCATAGGATGTTGCATAGAAATAGTCATAACTGGAAAGCTTGTAGGTTGTTTCTTCACAATATACAGCACTATTTAAAGCTGAACTGAAAACAAGTGGCACTAGTTGGCAAAATTCAGTGTTTACTAATTACGAACTGATATAACTTCTGGCTATCCAAAGGTGTACTATAAGAGAAAATAAAAAGTTATAAGAGAACATTTGACTGCTCATTATGTTGGCTCCAACTGCAGTGGTGTTTGCATGGTACTCCTGTACTTCAGCTGAATTCTATTGATGTTAATGAGGCTCAGCTTGGGAAATGGGCTTTATCTATATACGGTCAGTTGCAGAATTGGATTAAGATGCTCCCCCCATTTCAAGTGTCCTATTTTTTCAACTTACAAAACGCGAAGTTGCAGGAAGGGATGACTACTTACTTTTGATTGTGGATATACAAAAGGTGTTTAAATTGCCATTTAAAAAGGTAATAGGTAGACATAAAGAAGCAGAGATGTTCTCTACTGAAGAACAATACCTACAATTACGCCTTTCTAAAAATCACATTTTTATTACAAATAAAACCAACATTCATTATACATGGCAAACTGACTCACACAATGTCTTTACTGATTGTGGCTTAATTATTCATAACGCATTAAACGATGAGGAGAATTCATAGCACAAGAAACGTGAGCACCTGTGGAAGTCCTTGGAGGATGGGGATCTTTTGTATTTGTGATAGAGACTTTGAGTCACTGTGTGTTTGGTTCAGATGTACTCCTCAGAAATATGAAGCTAATTCTCATTTCACGAAAAATGAAAAATGAATTCTGCTGGATGAGAAGTGCAACACCGCACGTCTTGCATCTGAATTCACACATACAATCACTGTTTCAACATTTACATGACTTCATATTTGTAACTAGAAGTTATTACACTAGATCTTGCAGTCATCACTAAAATATGTAGAAGATGAAGAGTAAATGTCATAAGCTTATGGTAAAAGATCTGACAGTCCATAAGAGACAAAGAAAACTTCTGGCACTTAAGCACATAGGGGTACTTGGACCTTATTTAATTTATGTGCTAGAGTAATATTGCCTTAGAACAATGAGCATTATGTTCACAGCCCCTACCTGAGTTGAAAAATCTGCATAGTGCACTTCCATGGCAAGTGTTTTTTATCTAAAAACATACATCTTCTTGTTTAATTTAAAGATCTTATTAGGCTGAAATAAGAGACCTGTAACTAAAAACATTCAGTGGGATACTACTTCTGATGGTACCTTTGGCTGATGTTACTTTTGGCTGGGCTACACTTTACTAAATGTATAACCAGAGTGTCTGCTTGCTACCAATGTTTAAAATATCATAAATTTTTTTCTTCAGTTTTTATTACATTGATAAGAAGAAAAGGAATTTTTTTCCACTTATAGTCAAATCCAACGAAGCAACATTTATTATTTCCTTGTGAAAATACAAAACATACTAATCAATGCAGTTCATTTTCATCTTTTATTCTTCCTGTCTTCCCTGAGGTAAATTTTTTTGCTGATTTTCTAAGCATTCTTTCAGCTTATCTTCAGTCAAAGTCAGTCGTTGTTCCAGGATTGAAATTGTCTGCGTGAGGAGGACAGTAGCAATAGCTTTAGTATGTTTTTATATCATTCACACAGTACTATGAAAGTGTACAAAATGGTAACATTTAAAAAAATCCTTATAACTCAACAAAAAAATAGCCTAAAGATGGCTTTGCCCTAGCTGCTCCACTATTTACAACTGTATTTAAGAATGACGGATTTCTATCTATGAAGACTGTCCAAAGGTTTTAAATTGTTTTCATGAAAAAAAAAAGCTGTACGTGTGTGTATAATATTTATGTGCACATAAAAATTACTCAGAAATACTATGTGAAAGCTGCCTCCATATTGCAATATAAAAACTGCCATAAGCAGCGACCCCAAATGATGTCTTCCAAAATCCTGAAAGAAACTTTAAAGATATAAAAAATAAATGAAGCGTGAAAAAAAAGCAATATTAAAAGGCATTCTCCAAGAGACCGTCTTCCTCAAGAAGGGTGGGTTCCTAGACACAGGCTGACAGTTTCTTCCCAATGCAACTTACCTCACAAATAATCTTCAGCTGATGCCTTGACTCCAAACTTTTCAAAACATATTTCTTCAGTTAAGATACACGTTGCAGAAGAATTAAGAAAAAATCCTAACCACTCCTATTACTGATTAATGTTAATACATTCCAGACCATAAAGTAATGTATTAAGACAAATTGTCTGAATTTGGATCAGCAAAAATAAGTATTGTGCTTTTGCAAACAAGCAACTCAGAGTTACTGACAGAGACTAACATGTGTGCTGTTTCACTGACACTTGGAATTATCCACTGCATAGATTCCTACCTAAGCCAATATCTTGAGCACTGAGTTTGAAGAAGGATTTAACGGTACATTGCCAATTTACTTTGTTCATCCCCTACTAATGCATGACTGTTCAAGCTGGAATTTGACAATGTCAACACAACAACTGGCTTCTGGCGAATCCACATTAGATCTCACTACTGAAAAATAGTGAATTTTTTTCTTCTACAGTTAAAAACACAGTAATAATCTTTACGATTTCATAGCAGGAAGCTTTGACTTTAGGAAACACAACACATGCAATCAGTGTTTGCTGAAAGGCAAGAAACAAAACAGTCATTTGACTATATAATCATTGAAGCCTACAGACTTTAACATTCTGATTTATGAGCATAGTTCCTGTTTTTTTCACCACTGATAAAATTGTTATTTTCCACTGTGAGTGCTATCTGTCCTTGCATACTTACTAGAGTCAAAACATCCAGCTGTTCCACAATGTTCTCCAGAGCATTACCCAGGGATGGGGAGATGCCCATTTTCTTGTCCACATTATGCATAACTGATTCGCTCTCATTCTCAGACTTCCTCTTTGAACTTGTTGCCAAGACCGAAGCAGAGGGATACTGCAAATCTTCATTGCTGACATCATCCTTAAATAAAGAAACACTGTTTGAATATTCAGTTGCCCTTGTCTTCGTTTAATTGGAATAATACACGAAAATCAGCAGAAAGATCTGTTTTTATATTGTTAGAAGTCTTTACACATGTACACACAATGGCCTTCAGATTTGCTTCTTGTACCACGTCCAATTCATAACACTTCAACTCCTTCTGACCTAACAGGTAATTTCAGCTGTGATAGATGAGGCAATAATCACACACGATGTACTGAGAAATCTCAGCAGTCTTTACGAATGATTTCAACACAAACAATTTTCAGGTACTTGATTGAAGAACTAAATGCATTACTACTAGAGCTTGAATTAAAGCTCAAATACTATTGCTGCCCTGAGTTTAATTCAAAAAGATAGCTCTAGCTCACAAAGGAATTCATTCAAAGCAGTCATATGGATGAAAATTCCATATGTGACTGGATGATCACAAGGGTTCCACTCCATGGTATGAAATTTCTCTTTGGTATGAGTTTTCTGCTAAAAGAACAAAAAAGTAGCTTTTAGATGTTTATTTAGTTGCATTACTTTTTTAAGAACCAATTTCTTCAGGAAACAGGAAAAGAAAACAGAAAAGATCCACACCATGTCACGAGGGAAATAACTTTGCTGTATAAATATTGCTTCAGGGTAAGTGAAAGAGCATGATCTTCCCAATCACTTCTGCTTTTATTTGTGCCTTGAAGATTTAAAGGCCCTTTTGAGTCAGGATAGGTTAAATCATCACTAATTCTTTAGAGGATCCCTCATAAAAACTTTTCCTGATTTATTAATCCTTTTGCAATTTCTCCGAACTTCTACCTTCGGATAGTTTAAAAATAAACAAAAATTGAAAGAAACAGACAATCACATTTTATTATCTCTAATTATGTTTGCAATATCTGCAACCGTTATAAAATAAGTAGTTCCAGTTTAGCAGTTTCTCTGAAATATCTTGAGTGCTGATGAAAGTATTCATGCACTGAGCAAAAAAAAAAGGAAATTTCTATCTTATCTGATGAGTTTAAAATACACAATGTCTACAACATAGTCAAAATACTTACATTGTAACGCTGAATAGATTTTTCAAGTGGAAATCTAAAAATCATTGTGAACCATTAAAAATTGCCTCTTAAGTCTCTAAAATAATTCTGTAGAATGTAAATTATTAGATGGAATTAATGGCAAACCTTTATAAGATTATCAAGGCACGTTGATGAGTTGCCAAGGGCATGGGAGACTTAGAAGCAAGTTGGGTGATTCTCTGCCAAGAATGTTTTCTCTAGAGTACGCTCAGCCTGGAGACAGTTTAGGTGGGACACACTGCCTGCTTGATCATCACGTGCCTTATGAAATGCAGACAAATGAGGAAGGAAAGTTGAAAGTGCCACTGAAAAACATCCAGTTGGTACGATGTTTTTTTTTGTAGACATCCTTTGAAAACCTCCATGCTAGTTTGAATACCATGAAGCATATTGCCAGCCTTGGCTGGACAGTCCTTTCACACCTACAGTATAGTCCAGATTTGGTGCTTTCTGACTTCCATCTGTTAAGGCCAGTGAAAGACAGATTGTATGGGCAACATTTTCAATGCAACAACGCGGTCATAGCAGCTGTGAAACAGTGGGTTGCCTCTGCTGGTGCAGATTTTTATGAACATTGCATGCAGGGTCTTATTCATTGCTGGTGAAAATGCACAGCTAATGGTTGTGACTACCTTGAAAAATAGGGTTTTGAGGCTGTCTTGCTCTATCAAACAATGCTACTGTGTTCTTGGTATCTGTTGTAGTTACTTTGGGGGCAACCTAAGTAACTATATTTAAACACCAGCCAATACTGTTTGGCTTTGGTTATGGCATACTGCTTTGCAAATTCAGTGTCCTAAGGAATAGTTAATTCTCAAGTACATAAAAATAACATAAATTGCCAGGAGTGTTGTAAAAATGCCTTCTAATTAAAAAACAAAAGAAGACAAAAACAAAACAAAAAAACCCGTGATATTCTGTAAAACTTCTGAGCTGTTCCTTATTGTAAGAGAATAAATTTGAATAAGGTAACAATTTAAAATTGTTACTTTGGAGCAAACTAAGAAGAAAATTAAAATCTATACATTGTTTCCATTCATAGCTCTTTAGTAATAAAACAGACTCACATTTGGACAAACTCATGTGAGTTATAAACAAGGAGGAGAAGGAGCAGATTTAATTAATCAATAGGAAGTTATTACCATGACATTACCAAGCGGATGTTCAGTAGAAAATTAAATTCAGCCTATAAATGATGTCATAAGCAGCAAACCATAATTGCTCATCTTTGTTTTCTGTTGAGCAAAATAAGACAAAACTCTGTGGGTGGTACTTAATCCATTTCTGAAAAATCCTTACATGTGATCTGATCAGCTCTGCATATTCCAAAATGTTTTCCCACGAAACATTCACAGATCATGTATAAGAATAGAATTTGAGCAAAATGCATCCATATATCAAGGCGCCCGAGTGGTTTTATTTATAGAGAAAAAAAAATTAAGAGAAAGAAGGTAGGAAATAATACATGTCTATGTCACTCAATTGAAAATCATTAGGCTTCAGCCTTCTAAGAGCTCTATGAATTCAGAAAATATACACAACAGCTTCCAAATGAATACCCTAATGATCTTATAATTAAGATGGGCTTATATGAAAAAGTGACATTGGTAAGCTTCCTAATGAATCACAAAAATTGGCATGGCCTGCTTTTTAAAAATAATGCTTTAAATTTTGAACACATGGCACATTTGCCAGCTAATACTAAAACATTTCTGATACTGTGATTAAAACAACTACAAACAATTAGTCATAAATAGGGCATTAGAGCTCAAAATAGACCAACAAGCAAAGACTTGACAGTGCGGTCTCCCATCTCACCATAGCTTGACTTTCTGGGTTTTCTCTTTGTTTGTTTGTTTGTTTTTAATCATGGGAAGTTTCTCAGGAGAAGTAATGATGGTATTGTCATCACTGTTTTTTCCTCCATCTTGCGAACCCACCCCTCAAACTAAAATGTTTCACTGTGGATATGCTGAAGTGAACCATACCGGGGAACGTACGCACGTATGTATGTATGTATCTTTGGCAGGCCATAACTAGAGGCAGATAGTTTCTAGTGCTTTGAAATTATTTTCTGAATGAAGAAATGATCCACAAAAAATAAAAAAAAAATAAAGTTCTCTAATCTAGTAGACTAACACCAAGCATGCTAAATCACAGTCTGTTTTATCAGTTTCTACTGCAGGAAACTTCCCCTTGGTTTCAGCTGATGACAGCACTCATGGTTTCCTCTCTTCTCTTGCACGCACATGAATCAGCATTAAGCACAGCAAAAACTTGCCATGTGTCAGACTGCAGTTCTCTGCCCGTTGTTATCTGATGTGGTTGTTCTGATATATATTTTATTTGCAAACTTTAATGGAAGTTTTGTGTTCAGGCAATAATATAAACTATGCAGCTTGTCTTGAAAAAGTTCAACCAAACATTTCTAGTTTGAGCAGAACGCTTTCAGAACAACTCACAATACAGGATTTCACATTTAATTCAAAGGCTTTCATAGTTTCTTACACACCTTAATCTTCTCTAGATCTTAAAAGAATGTCCAATCTAAATGAATCCAAACATATAAATTGAAAATACTTATTGTAAATGCAACTGATCCAATTTAGCAAGCAAATATTCACTCTTCCATGCAAATGCCATCACTACTGGTAGTACGTGGAATCCAGTCATGGCTGCTGGTGCTATCAGGATACAAATTCACGGCTGGCACACCAGGCAAGACTATCCAACTACGTTCCTTAGCAAAACGTGTATTTTCACTGATAGCATTTTCTTAACCATGAAAACAGCAAATTCCATCTGAAGCCAGCTGAGTTTATAGAGGTCAAGAGGTCAGTACAATACAATAAAAACTACCTGCTGATTTGTTTTTAAAAACATCAATGCAAAATTAGTGGAAATCCTGATGCCCTTACAGGAATGAACTGATTCATCAGATTCATTTTTACCAGGATTACAGTTATGTTAAATTTAGCATTGCTGTAACAGTATAAAAGACTAAACATTTCTGTTCACAGGCTCGACAGACTAAAGTTTTATGTAAATAAATCACATTGTGCATTACCAGTGTTTTATCAAACATATACTGAAAACTGGCTATGTTGTTTTGCTATGTCAGCTTTTCCCCAATAGCTTTATTTACCATTGCTGCTGGTCAGAAAAAAAGCTGAAAGACAGTAATTCCACATGTTCAGAATCTAGTAAACGAATCAAATAATTCGTTCCATATTCCCTTCTTGTCAAGAGAACATCGAAAAAAAAAGCTTTTTTTCCAAAGAAGTACAAAAAATTAATTTAAACTGCTCAATAACAGATCATAGCAGTCCATTAATATTTGCGTACATGCAGCTAGAAGCAAATAATATTTCCCTGAGCTTTTCCTAAATTCTTAGATTATCAGAAATACTTAAGCTGTAAAGGCAGAAAACATTATTTTTTGAAGTTTCCTTTTTTTTTTTTTTTTTAATTGAATTTTATTTCTAATGTCGACAATTCCCTGCATGGTCGGATCCACTAAAGGGATCCACAAAAACTTAATAGCTAAGCTGTGTTTCCCTGGATTTGGATAAACCTAACCCTTAACATGAAATTCTCATAGTAGCTAAGTTCTGTAGCTATGCAATTTGTAAAGGGAGAACCACTATCCTTTAAAAATGGTCTAATTAAGGAGTTGGCTGGCATTTAGAGGAAACTGAGGATTGTTGCTCTGTAAAATAAGCAATAATGCTAACAACAGAAAAATAACAACAATAAAAAGCAATGAACATCCTATGCCAACTAGAGATGCCACCTCTCCGGGCAGGTTGTGCCTGTGCCTCACTACCCTTACTGTGAAAAACTTTCAATTGCATTGAAAGAAAAATATAGAAAGATATGTAGCTGCCACTAACGAAAAACTGCACTGGGATATAC